TTCCCTCCCAATATCCTCATTTTCACTGTGCTGAGTTCGCCCCTCCATATTAATACTTGCTTTCAAAGCATGACATATCTTTCACTGATAATTGAACATGAATGAGTATAAGTCAATAGGTCACCTGTGAGTATTTACATGCTAAATTTGTCTCTTCATGTCTCTAAATGGTAGGCTTTACCCTGGTTAGGATTTTTTTATACATTAGCAAGATTTATAAGGTGACAGTAAGAGCAGAGACCCTTTCCATGGTCCTTGAAGAATCACACTCCAGCAGTGGCTGAAGAAGCCTCTAGTATGATAAATTGAATCAGACCAGACAAGGTCTTAATAACAGCGGATAGCATCTGCAAGGAAGGAGCGAGCAGACCCCTAAAGGAAAATAAATTGATGTAAAGATTTGTCTTCAGTGCTCCCCCTGTCCCATTTTCATCTTAAAAATCAGTCTCCCAATTTGAAGCCTTTTACCCACAGGCTATCCCTGGGGTAGTCAGGGCCATTCAGTTGTCCAGTCTGGAGCTTCACCTGCTGCTATCTTTATTCTCCAGGCCATTCCTCCTTTGTCTCTTTATCAAAATTTATTTGTCCTGTGTTCCATTTTATCAATGTGCTTTCTACTGCTGGGTCACATGAAACTATAACTTGATCATTATTGTTAATAGGATTCTGGGATATAAGTGGAGAGAGCATCTTAAATGAAATAGGGAGTCCTGTTTTGAGAATTTCAGTTTCCAGGAGAGGAGGAAGATATTAGGTGAGGAAGCCTATAGGATTAAGAAGGTGTAAGTATGCTTTAGTCAGTTCATATTTTCAGTGTGTTCTCATGGTGCTGAGTTGGGCCTTGTAGGGGACACAAACAACATGACCCATGGCCTCAATGGGTTTGCAGTTAAGCAGAGTAGGCTGAGGAATCTTGGATGCCAAGCTGAGGAATCTTGGGTGCCAAGCACTTGCTTCCACCACATTAAATCTTATTGTGGTGGGTATTATGTGACTTCAAGAGACCAAGGCTCAGAAAATAAACTATTTTCCCCAAGTTCTATATAAATTGTGAGAGGTAGAGTCAGGATTTAGATTCAAGTTTGGTCTGGTTTTGAAGATTATGTTCTTTCCAGCAGTCCATACTGTCACAGAAACAAAAGCCAAGAGGCTAGATGGAGAAGAGAGTGACAGAACACTGTGTAGGGCTGACATAGCCTACAGTGAGAGTATCAAGAAGGGAATGAACCAGTGCCCACAGAACAAAGAGAAAACCTTTTAGGATAACTGGAAAGTGATGCTCCACTAAGTTCTGAAGCCATGAAGACAACACATTTATTCAATAGCAGCTGGAAGAAGAGAGGTCTTTCCAGGAAGGGTGATCAGTTTAAGGAAAGGCTTGGGAGTAGGAATAAAAGTGTTCTGGAGGCTAAAAGGGGGAAACTTTATTAAGGTAATGAAAATTATTCTTTGTGGGCTGCCTACTCTTTAACCTCATCTTAATTCAACTGAGGGAAGAAGAGTGAATGCAGGAGAAGTTTTCCCTCTCAGGGACAGGAGCTTAGCAAACCCAACCTTTCTCGAAATCTTACCTGGAGCCACTGCCTCAAAGGAGGATGGTCCCCAAGGCAAGGGGTTTTTTTCTCAGAAGTCCCTAGTGACACAGGTTGTGAACTTTCAGGAGGAAGGGTGAAGGAGCCAGGTGTTTCTCTTTCCTTTTTGGAATCCTGGCCCATTTCAATTTACATAACACAGCTTAATCCACAGAAACAGGAGCTAGAAGGCAGGTCCTTTCTCTCTCTTTTTTTTCTCCAAGACATAGAAACCTTTATTTTCTTCCTATACTGTGAACCAGTGCTGTTAAATAATATTGGATAATTGCACCTGTCGTACTCCCCATATTGTGCTGAGGAAAAATAATTGCTGGTTTTCTGCTTTGCAGTTTAGCTGTGACTCCATCATTTGACTTGGAGCATGTCATTTTCTCCTATTTTAGACTGTGTACAGTCAAACTCTGTGAAAGGACTCACAGCAGCCCTGCGTGTGTGAGTGGGCATGGGCCTTATTCAGCAATGGTTTCTAATTTATACAGCACTGAAAATCCACAGCTATAAATAAACAGTCCTGATGGGCTTTGGTGCCTACTCAAATGCTTTATTAAAAAAAAAAAAAGCTCCACCAACTGCATGAGGAAGGAAAACAATGTCTGGATGTGGATTCTGGTTTCTGATACTTGGCCCTTGGAGAGGGGGACACCCAGTTTGGGGATGGGTTCAGTGCTCAGCCAGGTGGCCTTCTGGGAGGCCTGGTCTCACCCTGCTTGTTCCTTGGCCTGCTCCCATTCCCCATGTGCAGGCACAATGTGTTTGGGGATTACAGTATATGAGACTGACTTCCTGTTATGACAAGCATTGCGAGTAGGTGCAGAGGAGCTAGAAATAGCTTGAGAAATGTATGACTCTTTTGGAAGGGGTAGGGCTAATGTATTGTTTAGGCAAACATAATAAATCTGCTCCCAAATTCAAAATTGATTTCACACATGAGACAGAGCCTCCAGAACATAATAAGCACAGGGACCTGTGAGGTCCATGAGGCAGTGGTGTTGCTCCTACCTCTGCCTGTATGTATGGGTGAGAGTTTCCATCAAGTTGGGGTCCCCTGACCACCCTCTTTTGCCTTGCAAATATACAAGCACTTTTGCTTTTGTAAATAAAAAGTTTTCAGACCAGTTACTGCTTTGCCTGTAAATAAAAAGAAGGTGGGCTCAAGAGGCAACCATCTGTGTAACCTTGGACCAGTACTTTCCCTCCTCTGAACCCAGTGCTGAACTGGAGCCAGCTCGTACAGGCTTGCAAGGACCAAGTGTTGTTCTTCTCTTCCCAACTCTGCATTCAGTGACTTGTTGATAGCTTGAATAAGGCCATGGTAGAGTGTTTATACCATGGAAATGGGCAAACACTATAAAGCAGAACCTTAAAATTTTTTCTAGAGAGTTGGTTTGTAAACATTTATCAGCACATCAATATCTGAAACTCAGTTTACTCATTTGAAAAATAAGAACACAATACATTTTCTGCTTAGAAGATTCCTGTGAGGATAAAATAAGATCATGACAGTAGGTATGGTTGTAAATCACATGACACTATACAAACATTATGGCTAGTTATCTCATCCTTTGTATTGTTCTTTAAGCACTAATAGCTTAATGTATTGCTTTTTAAGCACTAATAACCTAATGCAGCCTTATGCAGGCACTTCCTACCTTTTAATGAATGTTTAATCAATATTCTTATAGGTGTTTTGTTGCTTCTCTTTTCTAAAGTTACAGCTTCCCAAGGAGCATTGTGCTCAATGGGAAATGGTTCTGAGGTATTTCTGGTGTTGGGATACATACTGCACAATGGCCAGTTGGGCAGCCATCAAGGTTTTAGTTGGCCCTGAGGACAGTAAAGCTACAAATAGAAATCTGCATGTTCATTCCAGCCAAGAGCTTACTACGACTTTGAGAAGCATACAGCCATAGTCACCTTTGGGATGTGGAAAATTTGGGTGATCCTGATGGGCTTCATATTCAGGGAATTTCCACTGTGATTACTGCTTCTGTGCTTCTGTTGAGACCAGGTGCTTTGAGCAGCCAAGAAGCAGCAGGTATAGGAAAAAGGGGTGGAGGGGGTGTCTCCAGCTCAATCTGGAAATACTTGAGGCTCATATTATACATGAGTGTAGAGAAGTAGGGACCAAGCAGGTTTCTTGGTGCCCATTCTAGTCGTCCCTTATACTGCCTGCCCTACAGGTTTAGCCTGCTCTCTTCCCTAACCCTGCAAGACCACTCTTGATATTTTTGAGGAATTTCTAATGCTGGAATATATATTGCACAATGGTCAATTATGTAGCAATCAAAGTTTTATTTGGTCCCAGGCAGTTTTACCACATTTTATGCATCTTCACCAAATTTCTCCTGTACTATGTTTGGTTGTGAAGCCCAAGTACAATTTACCCTGGTGCCCAAAACCCGATCACTGGGCCTCATGACACATTATTACATTTGACTATCTCTATTCATCACTAGACATTTATCATTTGTATTCTTTACCAAATAGGCTTGTAAGACCTGGGAAATTCCACTAGAAAAGTCAAAACAGGGTTTATTAATGTGCTTACTGACAGTCAGCTTTGTTAAGTTATAAATTAACTCAGTAAAGTGATTTGCTCCAAAGCACTCTCTGCACTCCTCATAACCATATCACTTTCCCAGTTAGACTGTTCCCTAAGTAAAATATACACTTATTTGACAAGTTAATCAATACTTGAATAGAAGAAATTTTGACAGTGTCACCAGGTTCAGTGTTTATACCTTCCCAGAACGCTTGCCCACAAGGGGGACAGATTTCCTAATATTTTTTATAACTTATTTTCTCATTGTCCCAAATACCATGCCAGGTAGACAACTTTAGTAGCTGTCATCTCCCTACACTTCTATCCAGATTGAGGGGGAAAAACAACAGATGAGCAGTCCGTGAAAATAGCTAGCTTATAGAAATGCTTATTTTTAGGAAAGTTGGGATTATTAAAAAATGGCACAAGGCTGGGAATTAACATATCTGGGAGACAAAAGCTCTTGTCTCAGTTCTCACACTAAGTCTTTGGCCTCATGCAGGTAACTTCTCATCCAGGTCCACAACTGCCTCTGTGAAGAGTTTAAATGATCCTAAATTCTTTTCTCTGTGTAAACATTCTCTAACACTGAATTATGAGTTTCTTTGGCCTATGACCAGATTTTGACCACAGACTGTCCTCCACAGAGATCATATGAAGGTAATAAATTCTGAAACAGCAGGAGTTATTTTTGGCATGTCTAGTAAGCCTTTCAAAACCCAGGAATCTTCAAATTAATCTACCTTCATAACCCTCTTATTAAATTTAAATATTGTTTACTGTCCTTTCTACTTTCTTATGTTTCTCCACCACCTCCCCCCACCAAATAAAAAAAAAGATTAAGAAAACTTTCATGTTTTCTTCCTTTTTAGTTCTTGCAAAACAGCATATAATCATTTCTTCTTTTTCCTTGACTGCCCCAGGTCACCTGTGCAAATAAGAACAGAGAGAGACTTCAGACTTCAGGGTTTCGTAAATAGGAGTTCTTACACAGGACGACATTCATTGTGACTTGAGGCAGTGGTAAGTTGAAGACACATTTCCAAGACAAAAGGATGTAATTTAAGGAAATCTCTCACATACCCACCAATATGCTAGAGAAGGCACTCTCCTCCAAAGTGTATCTGTGTGGAACTCCAACAGTTGTTTCCTTCTGTATAAACTTACATGGTGTGAATATAACAGAAATAATATTTTCTTTTTTTCTTTCTAGCAAGTGGGGGTGGGTCCTTAGTCTTGCATTCTCAGGGGGCTGAGCAGCTTCTAGGCTTCTTTTAATCTTCAAAATTCCTCTCTTACCATGTTTCCACAGTGAATGGCTAGAGATAAGAAAACTGTTGACTTAGATCATATTATCTCATCCAAACAGAGTTAATAAAATGGATTTCAAATTTTGGGAAATAATGTTGTTTGTTATTATTCTTTTCTTTTGATGGGAGGTTTTCCTATTAGAACACCTCCTATTTGGTGGTTAGGGAGTTAGGTCCACTTTTGAGTTTAGTTCTTTCTTCATCCTCTGTTAGTACTAAGGAGTAGAGATATTTTAGGTCAAACATTTAATGGTCATCTTATATAAGATCCAAACATTTTCTGCTGCCATGGTAAAACCATAATTATGGTTTTAATCATAATCAATATCACTATGGATATCATATATAATTATACATCTTATTCCAATAGTCAGAACATAGGACAAGTGAAAACATACAATTCACAAAGATTTACACCTATGTATCTACAACTACAAAAGCTACTGCTAGACTTTGAATTGAAAATTTGAAGAACATGTGCCTTGTTTTAGCTAGTTGGCTTGAAAAAGGGTGAGAAGGCAGATGGTTAGGGGGGTATGAGGTGTTACAGGAATGAGATTTGAGCACTGATGAGTACAGTCACAGTGCAAAAGTTGCAGGAAATAAATGGAGCAGAGGGCTGCTGGAGAAAGCCTTGTGGGGAAAGAGGCCAAGGAAGAGGGATAAGGAATAATCTAGAGGAGACTGTTCAGGGGGAAGAAGTTAGGACAAGGAAGGCACAAGTGCTTTAGAAATACATGAAGAGTCATCCCATGACAAGATTCTTTTGTTATGAAATGACCAGGGACAACATGAAAGACAGACCTTGTAACAAATTTCTTCATGGATAAAAGCAAGAACGTAAACTAGATGGCCTCTAAGCAGCTTTTAACAATAAAATCTCCTTTTAAAAAATATGCTCTAGAGCAAGTAGTATTAAAGGAAGGCCTTAATTCATTCTTCCCAAAGCACCATCATGAGGTGACTTGGCCAGACTGAAATTTTCACTTGATAATCTATTCTTAGGAGGAAAGGATCTATGGCCTTAGACCTCAGTCCATATCCCTCCTGGATGTAAGTAGAGGGGTCATGGGCTCCCAAACCAAAATAGAAGGCCTCCTATATGTAGTAGGTGCAGCCAGGAGGCAGTCAGTTCATTGTCCATTACTTAGTATTAGTATTTCTAAACTTTGCCTAGTTATTTCATAATGTACAGTCAAGGTCACAAACTACTGCTAGAGAGATACCTACATATTAGATGGGTCTTGACTGATACTTCTTGACTGCTTAGTACTTGGCTAATGACTCCCAACTAAGGGCATAATGGGTCTCAGGATTTTATAAGCAGAGATTCCAATTAATTCTAGCTTGAGTTAGCTTGACCTCCTATTTCACAATAAATTATTCAGGAACTGCACCATTTCTGTCAATTTGCGTTCATTTAGGTGGTTGTTGCTTTTAATTGCCTTAGCTAGGGAAACTGGTAATTTATGCATAAATTAGCAGGAGAGGATTAGAATATCCACTTAGGAAAGAAGGTTGCACATTTTTGCTGAAGAAGAATGAGATCAACAGCAATAGTGACTAACTCTATGTGCTAGGCCCCATACTTGGCACCTGACACTTCCCAAGTCATTTATATATGGTTTTCCATTACCCTAGGAGTTGGGTACTAATACTGTCTCCATGATGCATAAGAGAAAACTGAAACAAAAAGACACTGAATGCCTTGTAAAGTGTCGGAGATCTACAAGAGTATAAGATCTCTTGTAAGTAAGTTCTGGGTTAAGAACAAGTTAAGAACCCAGGCAGTCTGGCACAGGACCTTTCTCCTAACCACTGCTTCCACAGCATCACCAATACACTCCTTTGAGTTTCTGTCCTCATCAAAGGAGTCTCAGGCTGTGGAAGGAGGTGAGAAAGTAAAATTAGTGCTGAATTTGGAAAGGGTGAGTGGCTACTTAGTAGGTGTTCTGGATCCCAGATCCAGAAGAGAAGTTTTGGAGAACTCAGGGATAGAGGAACCATACAATTGACTGTCCAAGCCTAGACAATATGATACTACATGTCTATGGACACAAAACTGAGACATGTAGTTTCCCTTACTTAGGAGCCATCTGAATGGTATTGACACAGGTAAATGATTGAGGGAAGCCTTAGTGTTTTAAGCAGATTAGGACATGGCAAAATGTGTTTTCATAGATAGCTCTGTTTAATTTTAGGCAATTTAAAAGTATTCACTGCTATTGCAATTTTAAGTGGTCTAACTTCTCTCTTTTTAAAAAAAAATTATTGATTTTAGAGACAGACGAGAGAGAGGGAGTATGTGTATGTGTAAGAGAGAGAGAGAGACTGACTCAACCCGCAACCTTGACATTTCAGGAGGATGTTGTAATCAACTGAGCTATACAGCCAGGGCTCTGATTTCTCTTTTAACATTGATTCAACCATTTGTAATTAAGATATGTTCAGAATTTAACACATTTATGATACTACTCTGGTACTACATAGCATGAATGACTTTTTATTCATTCTATCCTTAAGGAGTTAAAAATCAGGAGAGAGGAGACACACAACAGTCTCCATCTCTTTATAGTAATCTGTCCCTCACCCAAACATTCACAGATACACAATGCAAATGAGGGTCCACATGGTGATGCCAGCCTGTTTGTTCATGGGTCCTAATTGTGGTGAAAAACTGGATACAGTACTCGAACAACAAGGCTTATTAAAAAGAGCTTGGTGTTGAAAATAGCGAATCAATAATATTAAATATAGTGAAAATTTTGTTTTGTAATTTAATGGATGTTTCAAAGTCACTGTTTAACAATTTAAAAATTAATCATTATTGAACTAAATACAACTGATTTAGTAAAAAGTTATTGTTCTCTGAGCTCTGAGTAATTGATTTTTCTCTGCACATCTTTATTTGCCCAATTTTAAATGGATTAGTTTCTTCTTTCTTCTTTTTTTTTAAAATAAAGATTTGGGGAAGGCTTCAGAAATCTTTACCCAGAATTTCAAGGAGCCAAAACTAGTTAGAATTAGATGTCAACACATCTGAAATGTTAACACATTTTTTTTCTAGATAGTTTCCTGTGATTTGGAGTCCTGATTTTGGGAGTAATTTTTAGTATTCCATTTTTAAGTGTTTGCTTTCAAGGAGGATATTGCCTTTGGGACTTTCTTAACTGGTTAAATTCTCCACAAGTAGAAAATATGTGAAAAAGCCAAATGCATGCTGATTTATCCAGGGCTTCATTTTCTTCTCAGAAATGTGCACTCTTGTGCTGAAACTTCTGAAAATGTTGTTTTTTTTTTTTTCAGACACAGCTTATGTTTTCACACTAGTTCATAGATTGGGCGGAAGATGCCACTTCTGCCATTTCTATTTTGATAGAACAGAATGGCATGTGGGTGTGTGATGTGGGGGACTGTATGTGACTCTTGCCTTCCTTATATACAAAATCAGGGTACAGTTCTTGCACTTCTCCTTGGGTAGGGAAAAAATTGTGGGTATTTCGCAACCTGACTTTTTGATGGTTAATTTTCTAACAAAATAATATTTGGGGGGTTAGGGTAGTGAGCAAAGCAGGGACAATAAAATTTTTCATTTTAAAGTCACCTAAGATTAATTTTTCTTATGAAGAAGCAACATTGTTCTACCCACCAATAATTAGAAAGCTTAGCTTGCTGACATATTCACATTTCCCTGTCTAAATGAGAATTTCAGTCTCAAGTACAGGATGTGATCTTTCCTGGTAAATGCTTTACTAAAGTTTGAAAAGCAATCTAATGGGAGAGGGGAGGAAGCTCATCTGGGAAAGCACTGCTGAGATTGGAAGAGCTGAAAGGATAATTTCCTTCAAAACCAAACCAAACCAAATTAAAACAAACAAACAACAACAACAACAAAACCTTGACATTTAAACATCTTGTATCTCTCAAGCACTCACTTAAGGGAGGGAGACTCAGAATCCATTTGTTCATGCTGGGAGTAGTGACACTTTGCTCTCTGGGTCCTAAGTTCTCTAAAGGTTATTTTTAGCCTTGAAGTTAAATGAGGTGTCGTTTTTGGTAGAAGGGGAGACAATTTCATGGGGTTCTCTGATAGAGTATGAACTCCCCCCAGTCTTTTCCTTTGCCTACTTGACAAGACTTGTCTGAGTCCTTGGGTAAAGGCATCAAGCATCACTGCTTTCTGCTTTGAACTAGTTTCTCCTCTGTTTCCAGGAGGAGTGGAGAGAGTGTAAGGAAGAAGTATCTCTAGGTAAAATACAAGTAAACTGACCCCATTTCCAGTGGTTGAGCTTCTCTCCAAGTAGGTAGATGCTGGCACTAAAGACGTAGCTCAAAGAGAAGAAGACTGCTAGACCCACTGCACTGAGTTTGGCCAACACCGGATACACCCATGTACCAGTCTTTAAGTAGATCCACACGATCCTGTAGAAAATGACAAGTCACAATGATTAGGACAGTAAGGGGGAAAGCTATTTTATTTTTAGATCAATGAGTTCTAGCTCAGGCAAATTAAAAGAAGGCATGGGGGATATTTGTCACCAGTTAACATGTTCCACAAACCTGTAGAAGTAAGTCTTTTCTAGATAGACTTAATTCAGTGAGACATTCTATTTCATGGACTGGGCTTGGCTAGTTTATGTAATCAATTAAATTCAATGATGGTGAAGAAATATGGGAGGACATTGAACACATAATTAATCAAATACAATATGGGAGAACATGAATTATTCCTTTCCTTGAGGGATATGACCTGCTGAGACATGGAGCCTGCTAAGACCACATCCCTTTGCTAGGTCTCAGCCAGACAAGTGGGTTTGCATTTCTGTACCTAAAAGTATGTCTAGTTTTCCATTAGTTCTCCAAGTCCATTGGGGCAGGAAGGACAGAGATTGAGCATTATCACTCTAACACAGTATGCCTGGGGTTTAATTCTTGGCCCTAATTTTACCATATAGCAATGGATAGAGTGTTAAATAGGAATAGATGGAATTACAGGAAGCTCAGGTCTTCCTTGTGTGAGGATAGAATATAAGTCACTTCTATAAGCCAAGAGAAGGAAATAAATGCTAGGAAAGAAACCATAATGTCTAACTGAAACCTAAAGATGCAATTTTCTGAAAATCAACTGCACTAGAAGATCCCAAAGCCTGAAATAACTTTTAAACTTAAATATTAGGAAGATGATATATCAGCTACAGTTTATAATTGATTAAGAGCATAGAATCTGGAACCAGGTTTCCATGATTCAAATCCTAGCTCTGCCAACTGTCAGTCATGTTGCTTTCAACAATTTATTCAACTTTTCTGTCCCTTCCCCTCATGTGTGAAGTGGGGGTACAAATATCATGTACCTTATTAAGGCCATTGTAAGGATTAAGAGAGTTAACACATGTAAAATAGAACATTGCATAGGATATTGCTTCTTTCCTCTAGGGATAGCACAGTGGGAGTCTTCTTAGGAACATTTCTTTTAAGGTTATTTATTTCTTGTTACAATTGGGATAAGCCTTATTTAAATGTTATAAAGGACATTCAAATTTGTATACCCCAAGTTATCAAAGGATAGAAGAATAAAATTCAGAAAGCTTAATTGAACTTTCAGAACCCCAAGTGTAATCATAATTGTTTCAAATACTTGAAGTTTATCAAATACTTGTGGAAGAGGCAAGGGCTAATATTGGGCCAGGACTATGACGAGGCAAGGGAGGCACCTATGGCATGAAATTTAAGAGGCCATTTCTGTGTATCAAAAGACACAATCAATAGAGTGAAAATGCAACTTATGGAATGGGAAAAAATATTGGCAAATCATATATCTGACAAGGAATTAATTTCTAGAATATATACAGAACTCCTACAACTCAACAATCTAATTAAAAATCAATAATGGACTTGAATAGACATTTCTCCAAAAAAGATATAAAAATGTCCAACAATCACATGAAAACATTTACATCTTCATTTCATTTATATTTCCCTACAACATCACTAATCATTAGGGAAATGCAAATCAAAACTACAATGATATATCACTTCACACTTATTAGGATTGCTACTATTAAAATTGCAGAAAATATCAAGTGTTGGAGAAGTGATGGAGAAATTGGAACCTGTGTGCACTATTGATGTGTATGTGAAAGGGTATAACTGCTGTGGAAAACAACATGGTAACTGCTCAAAAAGAGTAAACATAGAATTACTATATGACCCAGCAATTCCACTTCTGGGTATGTACCCAAAAGATTTGAAAGCAAGAATGCAAATTGATATTTGTACATCTATGTTCATAGTTGTATTATTCACAATAGCTAGAACATGGAAGCAACCCAAAAGTCCAACTATGGATCAATAGATAAATAAAATGTATATACACCCAATGGAATATTATTTGGCCTTGAAAAGGAAGGATATCCTGGCACATGCTACAACATTAATGAACTTTGGAGGATATTATGTTACGTGAAATAAGACAGACACAAAAGATAAAATATTATATGATTCTACTTATATGAAGTACCTAGAGTTAACAAATTCATAGAGACACAAAGTGGAATGGTGGTTCCCATGGGGGAAGGGGAAGGGGAAATGAAGAGTTACTGTTTAATGGGTACATAATCTCAGATTGGGAAGAAAAAAGTTCTGGAGATGGATGGTAGTGATGGCTGTGCAACAATGAAAATGTACTAAATGCCACTAAACTATATACATAAAAATTGTTAAAACTGAAAAATTTTATGTTATGTGTATTATATAAACACAATTTTAAAGCATATTTAAGGAGGCATCACTCTTAGGGTCATACAAGTGTTAGATTGGCCCTTGGTCCCTAGTTGTGGCCCTACTAGTACCACTCTTCTGTCTCAAACTTGTCTAGGTGCTCCTCTCATGTAATGAAAACTTTACTAGATTAAAAACAAATGATAATTATTATTTCCAATAGTTAAATTCTATGAATGTGCAGCCATTAACAAAAGCATTTTAGAAAGACATCCATAGCACTTCTTTGCTCCAGGGCTGTCTCTCATAACAGCCCAGAGAATGTAGAAGGGACAGGAAGTAAATAGCCCTGAGTGGCTAGGGTTAGGAGTTTGGCGTCAGTGAGGACATCTGAGTATATTCTAAACAGGTTGCATTAATTAGTTCACTTTGTTTACTTTATATACTTGGAATGAGGGCTTCCTAGTTCCCATGCACATTTATATAAGATAGTCTATAAATAAGGATATTCCCTTAGAGGCCTGGAAAATTTGTTTATTTACTTAATTTTTGTTTCCTTCAACATAAGGTTTTCAAAAGGAAAGTTTCTGAGGTAAACTAATGAAGTCTGTATTTTCACAGAAAAAGTGTGAAGAAAGTTGTATGTTAACTGACAGTGAGGAAAGTAGTGAAAAATCAAATAAAGTATCAGGCAAGAATGCAGTTACTTAATGAAGGGCAGTCAGCAGAGAGGCCTGAGTGAGGAGATGGCACACTCAGTTGGTATCAGTTCTTTATTGCTTGCCTGAATATATGTCCAAGGGGAGAGACAAGGAGAGAAAAATGGAGAAGGAGAGAGAAAGGAGTGGGGAAAGAACAGGAGGAGGAGAATAAAAACGAGAAGGAGGTAGAGGAAGGGAGGGAAGGAGAGATGAAGTGAGAGAAGGGAAGAAAGGAAGAGAGGGAGAAAGGGAGGGAACACTAACTTAGCAAGTCCAAACTGAATTCATCATTGTTCTCTCAGTCAGTGTCAACTTTTCCTTAGCCCCCAGGGGAGATCCCATAAAATCATATCTAAATGTTTCTGCAGTGCACTCATTTCATAATCTCAATCTAGGCTCATTCATCTCACCTGGGTTTCTGGAATTGTTTACTCATTAGGCTTTCTTGCTTCCTTCAACCCACTTTCCATACCACAGGCGAGCAGTAATCTAATAATCTTTCTAAAAGAGAAACTTGTTCATGGTGTACCTCTGGTTCCAGTTGAACATCACTGCTTTAGGAAAACATCCAAGCTCCTTCACCCAGCCCACCTGGCATTGCCTTGGCCCACCCATCCACCCTCAGATCTGCAGTCCATCCATATTAAACCCCTTTCTGTTTCTTGAATACACCAAGTTCTGCAGCTTCTAGACCTTTACCCATGCTGTTGTCTCTGCTTGGAACACCTCTGACCTTTTCACACCCTGGGACACACTTCTTGTTCTGGGTCTAGCTAAATGGTATCATGCTTTAAGTCTCAGCTTAAAAGTTAGTTTCACTAGAAAATATTTTCTGAACATTCTTTAACTTCCATTTACTTAGGTTCCTATACCTTGTGCTTTCCCTACCCGTGTTACTTGTTTGACTGTCTTTCTTATTAGTCTGGAAACTCTACAGGACAAGGATCATATCATCATGCACATCATGATGGTATGATGTGCATGATTTAGGAAATATCAGTTTCCTAAATGCTAGAACACAGCATGTTCTTTATGTTTTAAAGTCAATAGCTATTGGAAAGGCCTAGGGAATTCCAGTCAAGATGGCAGCATAGGTAAATGTCACTCACCTCCTTGAACAAACACATCAAAATTACAACTAAACTATAGAACAACCATCACTAAGAATCATCAGAAGTCAAGTTGAATGGAAGCCTAACAACTATGGAATTGAAGAAACGCATCTATCCAGGCTGATAGGAGGGGTGGAGACATGGAACAGACTGGTTCCACATTCATGTCCTGGATAAAAATTCAGGAGGGGTATCTCAGGATCAAGGAGTCCCAGCCCCACACCAGGCCTCCCAGCCCAGGGTTCCAGTGCCAGAAAGATAAATCCCCATAGCCTCTAGCTGCAAAAACCAAGCAGGGATTGAGTCAGTGGAAGAAACTTCTGGAGTCCGAAGCAGTTCTTCTTAAAGAACCCACAAATGGACTTAATCAGACTCACTCCCTCTGCACTTCAGCACTAGATTAGCAGCTTGAAAGGCATCAGTGGCATACAGGGAGAAACTTAACCATCTAGCATCAAGATGAGAGCTGGGAGACAGCTTTCTCCCAGACAGAAAGGTGGGGAGAGGCCATTACCCCTTCTCTGACCCTTCAAACAGAGCCACAGAGCTGGTAGGCTGGTGCCACAACTGAGACTCCACCAACCTGGCTAACATAGTTGGCCCCACTCTGGAGATCCCCTGAGGCACCATTGCACCCAACTCATGGGCCCACCCAAACTATTAACAGTGGCTTTTCCATATGAATGACTGGTCTAGGCTCATGCTTCACAACTTCCCAAATCCTTTCAAACAATCAACAGTTGGCCTCAGTGAGCCCTCAGCTCCCATATTTCTTGCTAAGTGGCCCCAGGTCAGGGACTAGCAGCAGACAGCCTAGACTCACAGCTTGGCTACACCTGGGAATCTCCAAGCCCAACATGAATAGCAGCCATCTCAACTGCTTTATAATTCA